ACTAGATAGAGTTCTTATTCTCACACATTTCTGCCACTGAACCATGTCGTAACTTGCTGAAATTGAAACACAACGAGAAAACATCCTTAAGAAGGCGATCCCCCAACCAACTAGTGTACAAGAACGACACATAAAGACTATTGCCCAACGACCCTACAACAATATTTGAAAAAAGATTCACAGAATTACCTTTATCGAATCCAATTGCCATCAAGTCACACCACCATATGGAATCCGTTTTACGACCACCATAACTGTCATTGCACAACACAGCCAATCCAAAATTACGAAACTGAATCATATACCTAAACTCGAGAATACCTTTCCAAAGGACTCCATCAAGTCATGCCACCTTAGTTGTGGTTAGATATTATTATTATTATTATTATTATTATTATTATTATTATTATTATTGAAAATATATACTATAAGGATCAAATAAATAAATAAAAAACCATATGAAAGACAATTATCTAGGTGACCCCACAATGGACAATACATCCAAGATTTCCTAGCTATCAATATGTGATGGAAGAAGGAACAGATGGGACTTGCAATTTTATGATTGCCATTAAATTCTACTTCCAGCTACTATAATTATTTCATCTGTTTTGTTTAGAGCTGTCCATGTTCAACCAGCCCTCACGTGCTTCCCCAACACATTCTAATTGCTCATACTTACTTCCCTCCATTCATTAACTTATCCAAAAACTAACTTAATTAACTCATAATTAATTATTCCCTCTTATCTTTTTTTTTATAAATAATATTTCACCTTTTTAAATTTATTAAATAATTAATATATTTAATCTATATTATAGATAAAATATATTAATTATTTAATTAATTTAAAAAAGATCAAAGAGAGTATTATAATCGAAACTTTAATGTATTTAACGTTTGTAAGATTCAATTAGTATAAAGATTAATATTAATATATAAAAGATATATATTTAAATAATTAAATATAATTATATGAATGTCACACGGCATATTTAATTTTTTCAATGTAAAATTGTATTATAGATCAAAGACATTAACATAATCATATATATATATATATATATTTATAAAAATATTTGTATTAATAATAAATATTTTTTATTTATAAATATATTTGTATCAATTATAGATTTTTTCAAATAATATTTATGTCAACAGTACAACTTTTTTTATTTATAAAAATATTTGTATCAACACTATACTTTTTCTCATTTATAAATAATACATTTTTTTACTGTTTATAAAAATATTTATATCAACAATATATATATTTTTTTATTTATAAAAATATTTGTATCAAGAATACACTTTTTCTATTTATAAAAAAATTTATTAACAATACACTTTTTTTCTTTTATTTGAATAAACAGTAAAAAAAATTCCGTATAAAAAATTATTTAGAGCAATAATAAAAATAATTATGTATGAAAAAAATACAATTTATAAAAATATTTGGATCATAAAAAATATTTTTATACATCCTATACCAAATAACTAAATCAGTTTTTATATATCTGATAAAAAACAGTACAATAATTAATAATAAGATATATGATTTTACTCTTTTCTACATAATAATCGTGTATTTGATGAAAGTAGTCATTATTCATTGAGATTGAAAGCCATCACATTTCCTTTGAATCATTGATATCATAAATCTAATCAAACTTTCGAGACATTTTCAATTTACCTATTGATATATAACTAAAACTTGAATGTATCCAAAGATAAAACTTACAAATAGATGAAATAAAAGCTGCCACATGTCCAATGGAAATTGGATTAATGTATATGCATGAGATTTTGGGATGATTTACAAGTAAGAATTTGTATTCAATGTATCCTAAGATAATTATAAAATAAATAAATTAATATGTAAATCGATGGTAAACTAAAGCTAGGAAAGATTTGGACTAGTTCTAATGAGGTGTTATAGCTAGCTCAACATTTTGGACAAACAATTCTCCTAAAAGAAAACTATGCTTTGCATCAAAGATATTTGATGTTGATTGATCGATCAATGTCGGTAGTAAAGTAATTTTTAACATTATACAAGATTATTATTGGTTGCACATGTACATTGGATTTGGAACTTTCTTACATTTATTTATCTAAAGTAATCTTATTTCAACGTCTAAACTTTAATGTTATGTTCCGACGTTTTAAAAATAATTGATAATATATTCATCTGACAATTTTAGGATTAGGATAGTTACTAACTTATTCAGATTTTTTCTAATTCTTATTAATCGCTATTTTTAATGAAATCTAATGTATCATTTTATTTTATGAGAACGGTCAAATTCCAAATCAACTAATATGGTTAGATTGGACAATAATAGACTCACAAATTGTATGTGAATTTTTAATAGAAAATTATATTTTGTCTTTTTTATAAAAAGAAGTTAAAAGTTCAATTTTATTTAGTATAATATTAACAAATTAACAAAATTAATATTGATTGTTTTAAAAATGAAATTTAACAAAATTATAATTATTTAAAAAGTCAAATATTTCTTTTGAATAACACATCAAAATATATTTAAAAAGAAACAAGTGCGCTAGCGGACGCTAGGACAACAAAAATTGACTAAATAAATTTTCAAAAAATAGAAAGTCAACTATACTAAAAACACAAAAAATCAAGCGATTTCATCCATACCATGGAAAATGCTACACTGAGACTAAAAACACAAAAAATCAAGCGATTTCATCCATACCATGAAAAATGCTACACTGAGACACCTGACATTTCACCTTCAAAAAAGAGCAAGTTGAAGAGAGCTAAACACGACCACCTCAAAAAATAAAAGAGAGAAGTTGATCACCTATCACACCCTTAACAGTGAAGGCACCATAATGGATCTTGCTCTCATTCAAGCAAAGAAAATGATGAAACGGAGTATGGGTATAAACTCACTTTCAAGTCAAATGAATATTTGATCATTAAGTGATTAATCGACCTTATTCTTGACTAGAAAATAATTTTACTACGTATTTTACAAATATTTTAGACCATTGAATGACAATTGAAACCAAACCAAAAAGACCTTGAAAAAGTTGATCTACAGACACCACATCACCTATACAAACCACACACCCAAAACTAGTATTAATAAACACAATTTGATATTTGACGAGAATTTGACCGGTTGACAGTCTATCTTGTAAAAGCAGCAAAAAAAACCACCTTAGAAGGATCCAAACTCTTCCACACCCGAACATCCAAAGAAGAAAGTCTAACATAGGAAGTCCTCAACAAAAAAGTCTCTCGATGGATCTAGAATACACTCCTAGACATCTTCCCAACCTTGTTCGGCCTCCTCAGCTACAGAACTAAGTAATTCCACTAGAAGCTCTTCTTCGCAGATAAGGAGAAAGTCCCAAACTCAAACCTCTCCTATCTCATTCCTCATCAACTTCACAACCAAAGAATTTTTCTTTAAGATGAGAAACAACCTCTCAAAAGAGACACACATTGGGAACATCCATACCCAAATGTTATGTCAAAAATTAGTATTCAAACTATCCTTAATCACCTTGGAATAAGAAGAGGTGAACCAACCTGATTGATGATTTGGTGAGGAACCAGGAAGGAAAAACCCTCTATGCCAAAAGAATGTCTTCTTTAAACCGACCACCCTGTCGTTCAATCGGGAACCATAAACCAGGGTTCTATATCTAAAAGAAACAATATTCTTTCATGAACCCTTAATGTTGACTTACTTAACACCATCGAGTTCACAAACCTTAAATACTAAACCCTTAAACCACCACTTATCTTAGACTTGCACTTGTCCTCTCACTTCACATATGTTACCTTATAACCCCTTTTTAAGCTTTTTCAAAGGCACCTTCTTTTTATCCCATCTAATTTCTTCCATATTTTAACCGACATCTTTAAGAAGAAAAAAAAAACTTATGCATCAGATTTATAATTGAATTCATCAGGACAATCCTCTCGCACAGGCCTATGAACCTATCCCTCAATGAAGCAAGTCTCATAAACATAACATTTATATAAAATACTACAAATGGTCATTATACACGCCATCCACCATTGTATTGATCACAACCACTTTCAACCATCTATATTGAAATTATACTTAAATTATATTTAATTATTAATAAACAAAAATACTTTTTTAGAAATGATAATTTAAAATTATTTAAAAAACTATATTATGAATTTGATGAGCATCCATTTATTAAAAAGATCATAATGAATTTTATAAAATTTAAATTTAATAGTCGAATTACATTTTTCAAAAAAAAAAATTAATTGATTGTAAAAGTATGGATAGAATAGAATTAAATGCGATTGTTCGATTAAGATCACATATATTATTTTAAATATTTTCTTAAATAATAAAAATATTAAATTTAGCAACATATAAAAGTTTTACAAAAATTAAATTTGTATATTATTCTTTTAAACACTTCGTTCTTTTTTTAAAAAGAGTTTTAAAAAAATAAAACAACACCAATCCCTAATTTAAGATGTACATCATAGAAGTTAAAATTTAACAAGTTCTTAAAACTTAAAAGGCATGAATGAGGCCATAGTTAGGTGTCAAGCAACCCAAGTTGAGTCCAAAAGCTTAAGAAGCTTTTTATTTTTAATATTTAAAAAAAAGCTATTTAATTATCTTTAGATAATACTTTCTCCTCAAAATAATGGAAGAAAAGACACATTTTAATAATAAAAAGTAAAACAAAAAAAAGGGCATTTTGGAGGGTTTGTATCTTTCATATACATAGTTCTCCCCTTATTTATTGAAAAGATTTCTTTTCTTGCAACTTTGGTTTATCTTGAAACTTGCTACTATAACTAACCATTTTACACAAGCATAAATATTGTAGTAATTAAAATGTGAACCTCTCTTTATCTCCCTAACTATATATAAATACAAGGTACCAACCTTTCTGCCTACACCTTAATATTTCCAAACTTCAATTATTATATACATTATTATCCACAAAAATATTCATTCAACATGGGCTTGAGAGACATAGGAGCTTCACTACCTCCTGGTTTTCGTTTTTACCCAAGTGATCAAGAATTGGTTTGTCACTATCTTTACAAAAAGATCACAAATCAACAAATTCTTAACCATTCTTTGCTTGAAATTGATCTTCACATATGTGAACCATGGGAGCTTCCAGGTATATCATTTTTTTTATTCATTTTCTCAATCTTCTTCATACCTTCATCTTATTCATATATTTTTAATTATTTTTTTCATTCAATTTCTTGAAGATCTATTTTGTTTGTCATATGATCTTTTCTTTTCCCTTTTGTTCTTGTCTTTTTGTTTGTGTCTTTGTTACAAGAAATAAAATAAAAAACATAAGTTATTGTTTCTTCATATACCTTTATTGTCTTGTCTTCTCCTTCATGAATACTCTGAATCTCTGTAAAAAATTAAAATAATAAAAAAATTATTATTTTTTTATTTTAAGAATGAATTTATGTATAAGATATATGCTTCATTAATTGATGTAGATTTTTTTCGTATAATTGTTTTTTTGCCTTTTGTATATAGTTGTCTTGTACTATAATACATTAATGAAGATGCAAATTAATGATGTTTTTTGAGTTCTACTCTCTACACGGTTTCTTCTCTGTCTTTTTCCTTTTATCTAATCAATTTTCTTTTTCCAGTTTAAACGGATTTATAAAGCATTCAATTTTTCAAGATAATATTTATCCTCTTCTAGTAAAATACAAATTATATGACAACAAATATTTACTTTAATTTTATTCAAATACATCAATACATTACATAAATAATATTATAAAAGATTCTTCATTTTGCACTACTAACGAATCAAAATCTACAATCACTATACACCATACAGTAATATTCGCATACCATATATATATATATATATATATATATATATATATATATATATATATATATATATATATATATATATATATATATATATATATATATATATATATATATATATATATATATATATATATATATATCCAATGATTGCAGCTTTTATTTTTTTCTACATCATGAGTCAGAATTTTTTTTTGTTTTCTGATTTAATTTTGTGAGTGGTTGAGGATATAAATGAATTTTGTGGAGATTTATTTTTAATGATGAGTGTTCCTTCAATTTTACGTTTAAGATATATGAATTTTTGGCAACTATTATTATTTAATTGAACAAAGTTGACAAAGTAATACATTTTCATCAAGCAATCATAACTGTTGTCTTTAACAGAATTGTATTATTATACAAAAAAAATTAAAAACATACGTGTATAAATATACATACGCATGAATTAACTTTCTTTGATATGACTCTTTATCTATATGATTATGACTAATTATTATTCATATTTGTTTAGATATGTCACTGTTATTGTCTCCTCTCATGATTAAATATAAGAAAAGTTCAATTTTATACACAAAAAGACCTATGCATGATTTTTTTTCCTCTAAAGATTAATTAATTATTGCTCATTCAAAAGTAAAATTATAAACTCACATTAATAATATTTTTATAATTGTTTGAATTAAATTTTAAAGGCAAATTCTTATGATTCAGTAACTCCTCTGGTGTACAATGAATGTTGTTTTACAATGAACGTTTGTTTTAGCAAAACAAAAATTATTTAAAATGAAAGTTGTTATTTTTAAAGTTAAAATATATTTTTTAATTTTTTTTCTAAAACTATTATCAATATATTATTTCCAAATTATTATATTTTAATTTATATTTATGCCAATAAAAACTTACAGATAATTGATAAAGATAATATAGTAAAAATATCACATCTCTTAATTAATTTATTGAATTCTTTTATTATATCCACAACTTTTAACAACATTTATTTTGAAACTAATGTTATAGTCATAGTCATCTTAAAATTTTGAGGATTCTGTTTAACATTTCACTTCTGAAGATTTCAATTATAACAAAAGAGTTATATTTAGATACTTTTTCTGATTCTATTTATAACAAAACATTTATTTTTAAAATTCATTCAATAAATTTAAGAAACAAATTTTTTCTTATAAATAGAATTAGAGAGTATATACTTTAACGTTAATAAATATTTTAAAAAAATCCATTTAATCCCAATTAATTAATTGTGGTAAAATTTGTTAATAATGGGATTTTGGTGTAATTCGAAAACTTGAAAATTAGAACACAGCTGTGGTTGATGTCATGAAACACTATGTTGTGTCATCTTTGTCCGGCAAAATTTGGAAAGCTAAACGTCATAATGAACAAGATGACAAGTGATTGGAACACAATAATTATTTCTAAAAATGAATTACTACTATTATTCTACCTTACCTTATTATAGTCACGTGGTGTGAATATAGAGTTATTGAAATTTACTACTTATCAAGAAACTGACCCATCACGTGGTTGATATATGCATGCAGAGGTGGCAAAGCTGAATGCAAATGAATGGTACTTTTTTAGCTTTAGAGACCGAAAATATGCAACTGGATTTAGAACAAACAGAGCAACTATAAGTGGTTATTGGAAAGCAACTGGGAAAGATCGTGTTGTGTTGGATCCAATGAGTGAAGAGGTTGTAGGGATGAGGAAGACATTGGTGTTCTATAGGAATAGAGCTCCAAATGGAATTAAGACAGGATGGATTATGCATGAGTTTAGGTTGGAGACACCACACATGCCTCCTAAGGTTTGTTTTCTATCCTTTCTATCTATCCAACCTTGTTTTTTTCTTAATATCCAAGATTCGAACTCGTGCATCTGATTTAAAATAACATTTTAAATTTGTTTTTTCACGACTAATATCTAGTCTACATTCTAGTATAAGATTAGTTATAGCATCAAATGATTTCAGCTCTCTTTCTATTATAATTATAGAAGATTGAACTGTAATTCTCCCTACCATATTCAGCGTCAATTACTATTAAAAAAATATATATAAAGTTTCACTTTGACTACAACTAAGAATATTAAAAGATAAATTTTTTTAAATTTTAATGGTATCAAGTACGACATTAGATTTTTATAATATTGGTTATGCACGATACATTTTAGAGATATTTTATAAGTTTAAGTGATGTTATATGCTAATGTCCAATTTGTCTCATGCATATTCAAATTGAGAGGGAGATTTATGCATGCATAATATAAATTGGGTTCATGGCTAGACCTTGGAGAGCTCATGTGTCCTGATATATGAATAATGAAATTATGCAAAATAGTAACAATAAAAATGTTTAACATATGTAGGTAGTGGGAAATGGGAAATGTGTATATTAACTAAAAATTAATAAGTTAAAAAAATTGCATACAAATAACAAAAATATTTAATCTATTATGTAGATAGGGAAAAAATATATAAAAAACACTATAAGAAAAACTTGTTTTAACACCAAAGTAAATTTTTAATTCTCATGAGTTTTAATTGGATATTGATATCTTTAATTAAAATTTATTTAATTTATTTTAAAATAAATTATTATAAAAAGTAATATAACATTCAATGATTAGATGAAAGATGAGTATCAAAGTATTCACCTTTTTTCTTAATTTTTTAAGTTTAAAGTGTCAATATTATTATATTGTCATACGTTCTCTATTTTTAATTTGTTTTATAAAAGTATTTGCTAACTAAATGTTATAAATGTATAAAAGTAATAAAGGGTATTAGGGTTGCTCAAATAACACCAACCATGATTATAAATTAAGATAAAAAAATAAACTAAAAAAAAGATAAAACTATCAAAACCAACACTCATGAGGAGGAAGGAAAAGCGACCCAAGATCTTTTGAAACCTATCATGTTCCTCAGGCCAAAACAAATCTTTAAAGAGAGCAAGGTGCGAGAAGGTAGGTAAAGTAGGCAATAACACATACACAAAACTATAAGCAGAGGCAATGGTCACCCAACAAACCCCTAACCTCCTAGCCCCTTAAGTTGGCCCTTCTTCTAGTGTATCAAAGAAATGGAAAAATCCTATTGACATGAACTCACTTTCATGTTGAATTAATAATCAAAGACATCTAATGATTAATCTTCAAGCTTTCTCTATAAGAAGTAACTTTGTTTTTGTATTTTCTAAATAATTTAAACCACATAATGTCAGATCGAGATCAAGCCTAAAGACGTATATTTTCTAATATTAAAACCCTGAAACAACTAAAAAAACCCTAGAATCAAGTGTGTTGAGGCCCCAGCCGCCCAACCCACTTAAAAAATCTATATCAAATAGCAGAAGCAACCTCACACAAAAAAAAAGATGGTCCGCCGACTTCACCTGCACAAAACACACCACACTACTAGGCGCCTTGACACAATTTGGCGCTTTAGAATATTTTGCCTAGTATGCACCCTATTTTGAATGAGCTACCAAGAGAAAAACATCGCTTTAAACGATAACCAACTCTTCCAAATCCTAGATGACCATAGCACGACACTCTTAGATTTATCTTCCCCAACCTCAGACAAAGACAAAAGGTTATCATAAGCAGAACTAGCTGGAAAAACCCCAATTTGGCATGACTTCCACATCCTAATGTCATTTCGACCCCGACTAACAACCCTCTGAATAAGAGCAAGAAAACCCTCAAGAAAATCCTCCTCCCAAACAAGGAAGATCTGCCTCGACCTACAACTTTAAACCCAAGCATCCATTTTTCTAAAACCTATGGAACTCATAACATGATACTTCTACGCTAAGATAATAAAAATTCCCTCAAAAGAAACAAACGTATCGATAGTACCCACCCAAACATCATGCTAGGACGTTGTCTTCTGGACATCCCTCACCGCCCTCACACAAGATGAGGAAAACAAATCAGACTTCTGATATGGTAGAAACCCCAAAAAAGAAAAAATTTCTACCAATGAGACACCCTCTGAAGGCGCCTCTACCTTCCTCCCAAAGGTGAGCCAAATCCCTAAGGCTCATACCTTGCCTTAATAATGTCTCTTCAGAGCGAAGGAAAATCCAAAAGAATCATTCACATCCATTTACTTAAAAAATGAGATTAACAAGTCTAAGATCCTTCACTCCCAACCCACGTGCCCTTTTGACTTTACACACATCCCCCCACTTTACCTAAGTCATATTAACACTTTCTTTATATCACATCCCTAAAATAAAACACCTTTGAAAACTAACTAACTTATTTCAAATTGACACCGACATCTTCATAAAATACATAAAGAACACATGAGATGTGAGTTACATTTTTCATATGTTTAATATTTTATTCATTTATATGTGATGTGAGACTTATCACTCACACTAGATCCCAACAATCTTTTCAACAAATGTGAGTCGCCCATTTGTTATAGTTGCTACAAAGGTGGACAATTTTACCACTAACACTTGAATTCAACAATCTCTCTTACAAATGTGAGCCTCTCACTTGCTACAATCCCATCAAGCCGAACCATTTTACCATTGACACTTGAACTCAACAATCTCTATTGTAAATGTGAGCCTCTCACCTACTATAGTCCCCACCAAGCCGACCCACTTCACTAATCACACTTAAATTCAACAATCTCCCTTGAAAATATGGGTCTCCCACCCGATATAGTTCCCAATAAGATGAGCTACTTTATTACTCACACTTGAATTCAACAATCTCTCTTACAAATGTGAGCTTCCAACCTACAATAGTCCCACCAAACAAGACCACTTTACCGCTCATACTTGAGTTCAACAATCTTTTTTCCAAATGTGAGCTTTTCACCTGCTATAGTCCCCACCAAGTCAAACTAATTTACTACTTATACTTGAAACCAACAGTCTTCCATACAAATGTGAGTCTCGCTTGCTATAGTCCCGTCAAGTTTAAGCACTTTACCATTGAATTCAACAATCTCCCTTATAAATGTGAGTCTATCACCTCTTATAACCCCCACCAAACTGAACCAAAGCTATGATATCATTCATTGGGGAATTTAGAGGAAGAGAGAAACAATGTAATTAATGCTTCAAAACCTCATGTGAATGAAATGCAACATCTAAATCCAAAATATTAAGACATTATATATATCAATCTTTTTTTTTTTATAAATTCAAATTTTATTCATTCATAAATAATGTAAGAGTTAACTACTCATATTTAAATTGACTAGCGTTAAATGCGAGTTTCCACCTCTTACAATAAAAGTCAATACATAATCTATATAAATTATCTCATGTATATCAAACATTTAATGGTGTGAGACTTAACCAATCATATTTAATCTTAAATATCTCTTTCACAAGTAAATTTACACCTCATATAACATAATCCAACTAGAATTCAGATTCCTCACGTCTCTTAGAAAGCCATGTTTTTTTTCATTTATAGGCGTTAGGAGATCTATTCCTCACACTTAAGCTGAAATATAAAAGCTGGGAAAAATAACTTTTCAAAGCATAAAATCTACGAAATTTGATTCAATTGTAAAATTATTAGTGATAGGGGTAGCTTGTGGCAGAACAACGAGGATAGAGTGATAAAAGAATATTATGAGTTGTAGTGATCTCAATAACAAAAATAACAACTAATTAACATTTGTCATTTAAAAAGATATATGTTATTTTATAATATTCTCTTTGTCACAAACTATAATCCTCAATGTCTCTAAATATAAATTATATTTTGTATTATAGTTTAAATTTATTTTACTTTATTTTCCAGTCATAATTTTGACTAATATTATTTATTTTTGCAGAATATAAAAAATCAATATTAACACAACAGTCAAATAAAAATAGTCTTATTTACCCAATACCAAATATTTTTATTATGAGTAATTATATTTATAAAGATAAAAAATATTAAACTATTTTTTAATTAATATTTTGGCAATTGATATTGACTATTTGCATGAAAAAAAAACTGATTTTGATTATGGTAATTAATATTAACTATTCATGTGCAATTAAATGGTAAAAACATATATATATATATATATATATATATATATATATATATATATATATATATATATATATATATATATATATATATATATATATATATATATATATATATATATATATATATATATATATATATATATATATATATATATATATAATATGTAATTTATGCAATGTGATTAGGTAAAGTAGTGGGGAATATGTAATCTCACTACTATACATCGTAGGATATGATATGACCAAACAAGTTATAGCATATATTCTCCCAAAAATGGACCTGACATATTTTCCAAACTTTCTGTTCATTGTATACCTAGTAGGATCTAGACTTAACACACTTTGTCATTGGAATGAGATAGAATTGTCTCTTTGTAAATAAAGAAAATTTGGGGGAAGGTATAGGAAAATAAACTCTAAGAGATAACAATGGTGTCTTTCAGTTTAATCGGATGTTTTATACTTGAATCAAAATGTAGTTGAGCATAATTTATTCTCATTCATTCAATTCTGGTTTATAGATCAAAGATTATTCTCACTTATATTCCATTTCAGTCATTCACTGGTTGCCAAATTTTCTTGTTCATAGAACAATGAAACAATAAGTGAGCTAATGTTTCCTCTTCTTAAAAACAAAAAACACATGTTAGATCTTAAATTCAATATTAGGCGCCAATAATTTTTTTTATTGAGAATACAAACCATTAAAAAATACATTACTGTTATTTGATTGTTTGTGCTATTTGTTGTTCTCTGCCTTATCTAAAATTCAATATTAGGAAGAAATAAATCTTTTTTTGAGAATACAACATTAAAAAAATACAGTAGTGCTATTTGATTGTTTATACTATTTGCTATTCTTTTGTTGTCAAAAATGGCCGCGATAAAATAGATTTGACAGATAATCGATATTAATATTGTTATCATCGTTTTTATATTAAAGAATAAATTGCAGTTAATTTACATCGCGACGACTGACCGTAATCAATATCGCGACATTTATATTGATCAAAATTACAAAAATCATTATGCGACAGTGACGTTTTTCAAAACCCTACTTCCATTGTACTTTAAAGTTTTTCTCACTTATTGATATATTTTATTTGTCATAAAAAAAAAAGTTAAATTCCAAGACTCAAACAATTGATGAGTGTATTTTTGGCTTGAGGATGAAGTTAATTTACAACTATATTTTCTTGTTGAGATGTATTTATCTTAATTAGGTTAAATTTTTTTGTTGATATAACAGGAGGACTGGGTATTGTGTAGAGTCTTTCACAAAAGCAAAGAAGACAACAATTCAAAAGTGAACCCACAAGAATTCATATATGAGACAACACCTCCATCCCTAACTTTGGCGTCATCATCTCCAACAAATTACCAAACCATCCCTACTGGCTATAACAGAATTGATTCTTTTTCTTCCTCCATGACAACACTTCATCATTTTAATCCAAACCAAAACAATAACTCTTCCATCATCAATAATCTCCTTCAATATTCTCCTCAAACAAATCATCATCATAATAATAATAATAGTACCGTTACTCAAATTAGCTCCAAATGTGATGATGAATATGGATTCTTGTGGAACATGGATTTGGAAGAAAATAGCTTAGAAGATGGCGTGGCTTCAAACTTGGACGCAATCAGATTCCAAGTTGATAATAATAATAATAATAATAATAACAATAATAATACCTCTAATATTAATAATAATAATATGGTTTTACTATAAATATATGTATATGTACATTTATAAGGTTATTTATTATCTCATAAATTATTTAATATTCATTGATTTATGAATGTTTATGAATGTTTATGAATGTATTGTATTTATGGTGTTTGGCTTTAAGAGGCAAAGACACATGGTGGATTGGGATTTGATGTTTCAAGATTGGGTATATTTATGTAATAAGAGGATATTATATAGTGTGGTCCATTAGGTTTTCTAAGTATATTATTTATGTAAGCTAATAATAATATCCTTTGTATTGTTGAATATTTATAATAGTAAATGTTTATATATTGTGTTATTTTCATCATTATTTCGTTGCCTAAAATAAAGCATTATTCCATTCGGTACAGAAGTCATTAATATATGCATGAAGTAGCAGACACAGACATGGTGTAAGACGCCCTTGTGAGACTGAACTTTCACATGCCTAGTGAGTTTTGGTTGGTGATTATTTATGGCAAAAAGTTGAAACAATTTTGGAACCATATATTAGTTTTCTAAAATGCATGAATTGAACTTAACTTTTCTATATCAACTATTTATTTTTATTTTTTAGATTAGCTTTATCATTGTTGATTTTCTGACTAGATGAATAAAATATTATTCAAAATAAACTATAGATTGGGTAAAAAAAGACTCGATATTAATTTTAACTTACATAAATAGATATTCCTTTTATTTCTTAATAAATGTCTTATTTGAGTTTTATATGGTTTTTAAGTAAATAATTAAATATTTAGATTTTAATAATAAAATTAATATTTTTTACTAAAATACTCTTTAGTAGAGGAGTTGAAAAACATGAAAGTTAATAAATAGGAGTATGATAGTTGGAAAAAAATTGTATTAGTATTTTTTTTACAATCAAATGAGCTAAAAGAGAATACAATAAATATGGCCCTAACCGACAAAGTGTCAGGCAAAAACAAAACATCAACACCTACACAAAATCCGTAGGATATTTAAACCATTCGTAATAATTACAAGAAATCCGACGCTTAGAAGAAATTCCTAGCCACAACTAAGAGAAATGAACTATTCTAAGAATAATTGCTTCAAGATCCCAAAATGCATCATTAAACACCACTTGATTTCTCGTCGTCCAAACACACAAACAAGTACAAAATCAAATGATAGTTGTTGATTTACGCGAGATCCTCCTTACCACCCTAACAAACCATTCAAGGAGATGCTCACAACAATTTGATGCCTCAAACCACTCAACATCCTAATCGAAAACATCATTACACTCAAGACAAACACACGGACAAGAAAGGAAGAGATGAAGATTCAGCATTATGAAAGCGAAGTACATATACCAAGTCATGAGGATTCTATATTATTCCCCTGGTTGCCAGATTCAAACGAGTAGGAAGCCTGTCTAAGCATAAACGTCAACCCAATAGTTCAACCTTCATAGGAGTATTTGATTCACTACGCCAGAATTAAGTTTTAGCAGCGCATACAAAGACAGCGCTTTTAAAAAAAGCGCTGCTAAATAGTCAGTAAAAAAAAAAATTACCTACCAAAGACAGCGCTTTTTTAAAAAGCGCTGCTAAAAGGGGACCCTTAGAGAGCGCTTTTTAAAAGCGCTGCTAAAAGGGGACCCTTAGAAAGCGTTTTTTAAAAGCGCTGCTAAAAGGGGGCCCTACGAGAGCGCTTTTTTTATAAAGCGCTGCTATATGTCATTGCTAATGCACCCTATGAAAGCGCTTTTAAAAGTGCTGCTAAAGGCCTTTAAAAAGCGCTGCTAAAGGTATTAGTATAATAATTTTTATATACCCTCCAGAATTGTAAACGAAACAGAACACGCGTTTTTTCGTTTTCTTCTTCGTTTCTTCATTTCTCCATTGCCCTATCTTCCATTTTCGCCCTCCGTTGAAGCTTTCGTCGCCGTCCGTTTGCGCCGCCGTCTTCCATTTGTTTTCGCCGCCGTTCCCTTTCGCCGCCGTTCACCGTTCGTTCTCCTCCACCGTTACGGTAAATCCGCGACTGTTACGGCATTTTTATGGATTATTGTCTTAGTATTGCATTTTTCTGGATTAGATGATGTTAGTGCTACTTCTTTCTGAGTTATTGACTTGTTTTTGTTGATACCATTGATGAGCATTACTCTTTTGATATTGGCTTGAGTTTTGTATGCAAGGTGTTTGTTGAAATGCCACAATGAATTTTGAGCATTATAAATTAGTTTAGAATAATTTAGTCCATTACCAAAATTTTTGAGAGTATGCTTTAATAATTTAGAATAGTTTAAAATCATATTAATGCAATAGTTTAGAATAGTTTAGAATAATTTAGTCCATTTCCACCATTTTTGAGAGTATGATTTAATAGTTTAGAATAGTTTAAAATCATATTAATGAAATAGTTTAGAATAGTTTAGAATAATTTAGTCCATTTCCACCATTTATGAGAGTATGCTTTAATTTAGTCCATGTCATTTTGAGCATTATAAAATAGTTTAGAATAGTTTAAAATCATATTAATGAAAGTATGCTTTAATAGTAGAATAGTTTATTATAGTATATCTACTTTTTTTTAATATGATTTGTTTTGTTGGATTATCTAGTTTTTTTGTTTTGGTTAATTATTAATATGATTTTAATAAAATGTATATATTGTCTGTTATAGGGGTTACCTGAGAAGAGCAAGGTTGTGATTGTTTCCAAGCATCCTACTGTACAACTTTCTTAGAAGTTAGTGATTTCTTTACAGGTATTCTCTGTTTTTGCCTAACTTTCATAGTATGGATAAAAATTGGATGTCTGTTAATCGATTGTCAAAAGAGTACGAGAATGGGGTATCGAACTTCGTTAAGTTTGCTGTTGAACACGCCAAAGACCCCAGTAGGATCACATGTCCTTGCTTAGGTTGCTGTTATGGGCGTCGAATTGACGCGGTTCAGTTGGAATCTCATTTAATGAGACATGGAATTGATCGAAGTTACACATGTTGGACATTACACGGTGAGATAAGTAACGAGAATGTTGAACCCCAGAACAATACGACCTCTACTTCAAAGGACAATGGTAGGGATACATACGATTGTGATCGAGTCGAAGATATTGCAGAAGCACTTGAAGAAGATCTTAAAGATTGTCCAAAGATGTTTGAGAGGTTGGTAAGCGATGCAGAGAAGCCGTTGTATAAAGGTTGCACTACTTTCACAAGATTGTCTGCGGTATTAAAGTTGTACAACTTAAAGGCGGGTAATGGATGGTCGGATAAAAGTTTCACAGAGTTGTTAGCCCTACTTCAAGAGATGCTTCCGGAGGATAATGTTCTTCCCAATCGAACCTATGAAGCTAAAAAAATGTTATGCTCTATTGGTATGAGCTATGATAAGATACATGCTTGTCCAAATGATTGCATTTTGTTTCGAAATGAGTATGCATCATTAAACGAGTGTCCTAAATGCGGTGTATCTCGGTATAAGAAAAAGTTGTCACCAGCAAAAGTCTTATGGTATTTTCCTATAATTCCGAGATTCAGACGCATGTTTCGTAGTGAAACAGATGCGAAACACCTTACTTGGCATGCAGATGATAGAATTATAGATGGGAAGTATCGACATCCGGCAGATTCACTACAGTGGATGAAAATTGATAATGATTATCCTGATTTTGGAGAAGAAGCTAGAAACCTTCGCTTGGCATTATCGACTGATGGAATGAATCCGCACGGTCTGCAAAGTATCTCCCATTCCACCTGGCCTGTAATTCTTATGATTTATAACCTACCTCCATGGCTATGTATGAAGCGTAAGTACATGATGTTATCTATGTTAATTTCTGGCCCTAAACAACCAGGAAACGACATAGACGTATACTTGACACCTTTAATCGAAGACTTAAAAAGTTTGTGGGAGAACGGTGTGGAGGTTTATGATGGATATAGGAAAGAAAGTTTTAATTTGAGGGCCATGTTGTTTGGCACAATTAATGATTTCCCAGCATACGGAAATCTATCGGGGTATAGCATTAAAGGTCAATGTGCGTGTCCTATCTGTGAAGAAAACACAAATTGGACGCGGTTGGAATTTGGTCAGAAGAATGTCTTTCTTGGTCATCGTAGATTCTTAAGTTCTAATCATCAGTACCGTGGGTGGAGACAAGAATTCAATGGAAATTCAGAACAACGTAGAGCACCACCTACATTGACCGGCGATCAAATTTTTGCAAAGGTGAAAGATGTGAGTACTCAGTTTGGCAAGCCTTTTGCTCATACGCTTACCACGCGTGGGTGGAAGAAGAGGTCAATTTTGTTTGAGTTTCCGTATTGGAAGTCGTTGTATGTACGGCATTTTCTTGATGTTATGCATATTGAAAAAAATGTATTTGAAAGTGTTATTGGTACGTTACTCAATATACAAGGAAAGTCTAAGGATGGCCTTAAAGCAAGAAAAGACTTGGTAGCAATGGGAATAAGAAATGAATTAGGACCCCAGAAGAAAGGAAATCGCACTTATCTACCACCTGCTGCATATACTTTGTCTAGAAAGGAGAAAAAGATAATGTGTAAGTTTCTGAGTGAAGTTAAAGTTCCAGAAGGATACTCTTCAGATATTAGAAGACTTGTTTCTATGAAAGACCTAAAGTTAAAGAGTTTAAAGACACATGATTGCCATGTTCTTATGGAACACTTTCTACCAATAGGTATACGTTCTATTTTGCCAGAAAAAGTGAGAGGCGCAATAACAAAATTGTGTTTCTTTTTCAGATCTATTTGTAGTAAGGTGATCGATCCTGCGATCTTACCAACATTGCAAAAAGATATAATTATTACTTTGTGTGAGCTTGAAATGTATTTTCCTCCGTCATTCTTTGACATAATGGTACATCTAGTTGTGCATCTCGTGAAAGAGACACAACTGTGTGGACCTGCATATATGAGATGGATGTATCCAGTTGAACGTTATATGAAAATATTGAAAGGGTATGTGAAAAACCGAAGTCGACCAGAGGGATGTATTGTTGAACGATACATTGTTGAAG